AGTTTCAGTGCTTAGCAGGGTAGTTCCCAATTCTGACCAATTTGCGATACTGGGTCAATACCTGTAGGAACTTTACTGCGGGCGGATAGAAGTGCAAGTACAGAGTAAGTATGAAAATCACTGCCTATCAGTGTCTAAAAGCAAGTATACAACGTGCCCAGCTTTGACAAGTCAGTAAGTTAGCAGTGTTATTGTGTACTGGAAATATTTCCCACGCCTGTCTCATAGTGTTGGCAGGCTAGGATCCATAATGAGCAACATTTTGTAGGAAGTTAATGCTTTTTTTTTTGCTTTTTTTTTTTCTTTTTTTTTTTCCTGTATTATATTGCTGCTAAATTAGATCTCAGCCTACACTTGCAGAAGAGAGGGAAATCCCAGGTAGCTCCTAGGGAGAGGCAGTGCTTTTTGAAAGGAGGATGGGTTTGGATACACCGGGGACAAAATGACTTTTTTCGCTCAGCAGCATTGTTGCTTATTTAGAAAATCGAAGTGGTTTCTCTCGCATTTACTCCTGCTCTAGAGAACTGTAGGCGCTTTTCAGCCCAGTCCAGGCTGAGCACGGTGCAGCTCTGGATCGGCAGGACATGACACTATGGATTGTTACTCCGAGGCTGCAGCTGGGTCCTGCCTTCCGCCAGGAGAATTAGTTTAAAACTCAGATTCAGTGAGTCAGGTCTTCCAGGAGAGCATCAAAATGCTGATCCAGAGCAGTTCCGTTCTGTCCTTTTAGGGTTTGTTTACCTTGCTTAGGCTTCTGATGACGTTAGCACTCATGCATTAGTGGTCTTGTTCTGACCATGTGATGCAAGGACCTGTTCTTTCTAAATGACTTTCTTGGCTTCAGCTGAGCGGTGTGATCATCTCTTCCCCTCCCGTGGGGATAAAAAAGAAATTATTCTTTACAACTAATGGGATGAAATAGTGCTGATGAGAACGTGCCGAGTTTGTCTTGGAAGAAGGTCTCAGAGTTCAGGGCCAGGGTTCACAAACAGCACCATCTTCTGTGCATCATTAAGTATCAATCTCGAGGCTGTGCCTGGGTGTTGTTGCTTATGCATTGCTAGGATGACATTTGGCACCTCGAGTAGGAAAGACAAATTGCAGTCAGCGGCAAAGCTGCTGCTCGTTCGTCAGTTAGTGATGTACTAGTTAGTAATAAGACATGGGTGTCCAGCCCTTTGGGTGGTATCCCAAGGAAACAGGTGGGGTCGCATCCTTTACCCGTCTGCATCAGTCCAGGTGTTTACTTAAGCGGGGTTAAGGCCATTTACCAGCTTTGTGCCTCAGAAGGATGTATATTTCCTTGTCTGTTAGCAGCGAGATCAGAGCCTGGAAGAGTTATTCAGCTGTGAATATGTAGTATGTTCAGTGCCGATTCCCTGCGGGCTCCCATGTGCTTGCAAGCAGAGCTCACTGCTTACTTACAGTCAGCCCAGGGACACCACTGTGCATTTCTGCATTTGTTTGCTGCGTGCTTTTCACATCAAGCCTAACACGGCTGCCAGTGGGTTTACGTGGCCGCTCTCTGCTTACCCCAGAGAAGACCATGAGCTTCTCAATCATCGGTGTTTTATACAGTCGTAGTGGTAACCGTGTACTCATTGAGTCTGAGAGTCTGCCGTGTGAGCCTTCACCCGCTGAGGTGTCTGGGCGCAGGGGGGAGGCAGTGGCTGCATGTGCAGGCTGGGCTTTGTGTCTCCCAAAGACGTGAACGTGCCAACCAGCACATCCAGAGGGCTTTAAGTAATGCTGGGAAATGCAGATGGATACCCATCTTCATTTCCTCTGAGGCAGGGAGGACTGACCATCTGAAATTTGGTCTGAAAGAAGAAAAATCTTCACTTTTACCCTGTATTACGAGGGAGCTAAAAGCGGCCCACATTGTCTCCAAAATGGGAAGCGTGGCACTGTCAGTATTTCATTTCTTTTCTGGATGCTAGAAAATGACCTTCATAGCTCACTTGAGGCTTTGTCTCTTTAGAGTTATGGGCCATTCTCTTGTTAGCGGTAATAAACCGCATTACATTCCACTTCACACTGATGGGGTCTTTCTGCATAAAGCCAGGGAACTTAGGAAAGAGAAAAGAAAAAGGAAAAAAGGTCAGTGAATTTCAAAATGTGCTTATTAAAAAGGGTATAGAAGGGAAAAAGCTCATATCGCTTGTCCAGTGACACGTGTTGTATCAATAAGCCATTATGTTTTATACACTATTTGTGATGCACGCACATCGTTTGGTGCGTTACTACATCATACACGTGGGGCTCGCCTGTGCCCACAGGAGGCAGAGGCACTGCCCCCTACTGCAGCCACTATCAAATTTAGGGCTCTGTTTTTAAATGACTCTGCCTGGATAGCAGAGAGCAGGACAGGGCGTGAAGCGCAAGCCCAAAACCTTGCTGGTGTTGTGCTGTGCCTTTAAATAATGCCCACAAAGCCCCCTTATCTCCCCTCTGCACTTTTGGCCTCCTGACAGGCCTGTAATTAGTGCAGTTTTTTTACGTTCGTGGACAGATTGGAAATTTGGAGAGCACTTAATGAAAGAGGTCAGTTACCTTGACCAGGCTGAAATTGCAGTTAGAGGACACCGCTTGCTCCCAAGGCTGGCAGCAGGCAAATACATGAATATTAACGTACCGCAGGCAGAAATGCAAACCCTGTTGGTAACACGCGCAAGGCGAGGGCTTTGCATTCAGATGACGGCATCCCTATAGGTGAAAATCGTCTTCCAGGGACATCTCCTCTTAGAGTTGCTAAGGCAGCCCCTCGTATAGAAATACCTGTTGTAAGGAGCTGGGTTAGGACATGACCACAGGTCCGAATGGACTAGCGCCCTAGGTCAAGCATCCTTCCATACGCTTTGAGTTCAGAGGCCAGGGGCAAGCCATGTGTGTCTTTTATGATTGGGCCAGCGTGTTGTACAGCTGTAAAGGTGTTGCATTGACCTCAAAGGGTGGTGATGCTAAATCCAGTTACTGCTATAGGTTTCTGCCTCGGGGAGCTAGTTTTGGTGGGGAATTAGGTGATGGCTTGGTTTGCAGTCAGGATCGACCGGGGCCTCCAAAGTCCTCACTCCTTTCAGTTGAGCAGTGGGTGCGTAATGCCATTTTATTTATCTGTTTTAATTTCTCAGGCAACGCTAAGCTGCGATGGAAGAAAAATAAGAAACCTGCACTACAAATCCTGCAAACAACCGTTAAGCTGGGAAAGCTCAGATCCTTTTGTTTCTGGATCTCTCCACTTAATGCATAATGGGAGAAGAAGCAAGACCCTGGTAATAATTACACAATTAGAATTGAATCTTATGATCCTAGCTGCAAGGGTTCCTTATACCGATGTGCAAAACAACATGTCCTGTGCTCATAAAAAAAAAAAAAAAAAGCAAAGGATGCCTTTTAAACATTTATTTTTACAGCGTGTATTTAATACTAAAAGTGATTATAGTGTGTTGCTCTTCACCTTAATTGTTTGGCAAATGTCACGGTGTAAAAGCAAATCCCTTTCTTGCACTTCCAGAACGCCGTGACATTCTCGTGCTGCCAAAGAGCCCCGCGAGGCGCTCAGGGGGGCCCCTTCTCTGCGAGCATTTCATAAGGCTTTCCACACCTGAGCATTTTGGGTGGATAGTGATAGGACAAGAGGGAACGGTTTCAAACCGAGACAGGGGAGGTTTAGCTTGGATATCAGGAGGAAGTTTTTCACGCAGAGGGTGGTGAGGCACTGGAACAGGTTTCCCAAGGAGGTTGCGGATGCCCCGTCCCTGGAGGCATTCAAGGCGAGGCTGGACGTGGCTCCGGGCAGCCTGGTCTGGTGCTTGGCGACCCTGCACATAGCAGGGGGTTGAAACTAAATGATCTTTGCGGTCCTTTTCAACGCAGGCCATTCTATGATTCGAAGTTATTTCCTTCCTGCTTCTACTGCTGGAGACTGAAGTAGAGGCAAATCTTTTAGGTGTGCGAGTCCCTGCGTGACACAGACCTGGGTTCAGACTGTTCCGCTGCCAATAGCAGAGCTCCTTTCTGCTGCAGTGACTGCCACAGTGTACGCTCAGAAGAGATGACTGTCCCTTCGGCTCCAGGCAAGTGTGTGTATAAAAAGCTGGGCTGCATTCACTTTGCAGAAGTCAGCTCCGAGTGTGAGCTGTCACAGGGAGCTTTGGTTTATACGGCCTTCTCTCTCAGTGGCTCTTTGTACAGGATTTCTGCATGAGGCAAAGCCTGAAATTGGTGATGAATGCCTGCGGAGGGCTACAAGGACAGAGCTGTGCCTGACCCCTGACTGGTACAGGTTCCAGTGCGGCGTTACAGGTGAGCAGCCTTCCCAGGGGAGGCTCTAATTTGAGAGAGCCTGTCCGTAGCAGCAGCGGTCCAGAGTCTCACTGCGTCCTCTCCATCAATCCCTTTTGTCCCCTTCAAATAAAAATGACTGGGAATCCGGCGGTAGCGCAGGGAGAAGCCAAGGGAGGTAACTGGGGGTACTGGCTCCTTCCCCACTGAAGCCTTGTCCCTGCGTGGGAACACAGCGAAGGGCAGAGAAGCGGTGACCCCAGGGAGGCTGAGGGAAGGGATTATGTACGGACCCTGGAGTATGGAGATCAACTCAACCTCAGAGTGGGGTGGGCAGCACGTGTTGGCTACGCATTGCTGCATGCTCACATCTAGAAATGTCAGCACCGTTCTCACCTGGTGTGCATCTTCCCCTTCCCCATCCTCCTGTTTGCCTTTTTCTGTCTCCAAATAAATCTCTAGGGGAGAAATACGCTACTTTCCAGCATCACACTGACCCCCTTCCTCCTCCCCGCCAGCCTCGAAATTAATTAAATGATGTCACGCTTGATTTTATCTGATTTGGAAGCAATTCATCACCCTTTTGCTGGTTCTATTAGTCCAAGCGATCAGCACATTAATTCATTTGTGAAACTAAGCTCAAGGGTAATTACAGCGAGGAAGCGTAATGCTTAAACGTGTTAATGTCTATAATCAGAACTATTTTCTCAGTGCAGAACAATTGTTAGACAATTACACGTGGATATGCTTTAGATACAACTGAAATACATATGTTTTTAGGATCCTCATCACAAGGATTTTCCGGCAGAGAGGCGAGACAAGTTGGGTGAATTCCAAAGGATGCTCTGCATTCGCTGTGTCAGACCTGACAAGGTAAGTACAAGGCTACTGCCTTATTCAAAAAATATATTTTATTTTATTTTTAGAAACAAATTATTTTAGAAACAAAAAGCATTTTCAAGTATGCATTGCAACTGAGAGGCTGCGGTTTAGCCCCAGCAGGCAGCTAAGCACTATGCAGGCGCTTGCTTCGTTCACAACAAGATGGGGGAGAGTAGCAGAAGTGGTAAGACTCTGAAAGCTCACCCTGAGGTAGTCTGTTCACCAGGTAAAAGTCACGGTCAGATAAATGCCATCGTTCCAAACGTACCCTCTCCTCCATCTTTACTCTAGCTTTTATGTATGTAAGGATAGGACACAGACTATACCTTTGGTTAGTCTAGACCTGCCACATCTCCTCCCAGAAAAGCATAACATGGAAGGATAGGCCTTAAACATTTCACTGCATTCACACAAATCTCCTGCGCTTTCACACAAATCTCCTGAGCTTTTCCAGCTGAAGTTCATCTTAGGAGCATAGTGACTTCCCTTTTTATTATGTCTGACAACTTGGCTTGCGTAAGTTTTCAACGTCGCTATCCAAGGTCAATTAGACCGCTGTGGGAAGATAATTTAACAGTAGCGTAGACTGTTAAGTAGCAATTACTGTAGCCACTCAGATCCATTTTGTTTTACTGAGAGTGTTTTGATTCAGGACCAGTGCGAGCGTCTGGCTCGTAGGCTCAAATAAGGCGTAGATCGCAACAGATACTCGCCATTAGTCATCTTTATTCAAAAGTCAGCCCAGGAAAAGCAAGATAAAAGTATTTGCTCACATATTTATCGTACATTCACAGGTAATCAGGTCTAGTATTAGCTCATGCCTAGCCGTGACAAAGCATTTTGCGTAAGAGAGAAGTAGGTCAGTTACTACTTCTGCTCTAGAAAGCCTATTAAGAAATCCTCTGCACTTCCTCCAACTGCCATTCAGCTTAATATTAGCATTTGTACCAGAATAAAAATATTTTTACCGTATAAATAGAAAAAAAAGTCAGAGTCATATTCAACTTCTGGACTCATCCTATGAGCTTTCAGAAGGTTGGCAAGTCTGATCGGCTGCGACGGGTGCCGGTGCCCGTGGGGTATATCGATGTTTGGAGACTAAGTTATCTAAGAGATGCTTCCTAGTCACAGCAACTTCTTCTTCAAAGGCATATTACGCTTCTGCCACTTTTGCACTTGAAGCAAAGCAAAAGATTGAGATTTTCAGATGAGTAACTTAACTGTCCAATTTAGAGGGGTGCAGAACTTAGATCCTCAAGAGGTCATTTATCCGCTACTAATCTTAGCTTAGAAGTATGCTTTTTACGAGCGCTACCATTGTCTGAATGGTGCACAGGAGTCCATCAGGTGATTCGTAGGCATCACCATCTGATTCAGAAACTCTTCCACCAGCCTCACCAGCGGGGTTCAGTTCAGCAACTTTTATTTTTAAATATATTTAGCAAACTTGTAAGTTGCGAGCCCGTTGTTTAGCTATGTTTTAAATAGCATCGGGGAGCGAGTCTTCAATTTAGTTTTAGTTTAGGTATGTTTAGGTAATAACTTCATACAGTCAGCCCAGCTTCTGAGGTATCGGACCGCTTCCAATAAAGCGGACAGCTGCTATTTTTACCTATTTGAGCGCTATTTATTCTTGATGTAATCTTGACAGCTTCCAGATATACTTTCAATATGAGACCTTACAAGCAAGATAAAGATCTATTGCGCAAAGCCACAAAGAGCTCAGATGACAAATAAGGGGCACAATTATTAAGCGTGCCTCATCAGAGAGTTCGCCTCTCTTCTTTCTCTGTTATTATCCATAGAATTAAGAGATGGCATATCAAAGGCCATTAACTAAGGAAGCTCAGATAAGTGTGCTTCGGTATACATCGACAGCACAGCCCGCACAAATACCATAGGGACGATCAGAACGCGAGAACCGTGACTCATTCGAAAGACGCTTTAAAGCCTGACAGCCTAATTAGACAGCGATTCTCTATGAAGTTAGAGACAAAAAGCAGCAGTCCGACCAAGTCTTATTTTGTCAGGTGTCTTCTCTCTAAGATAGAGCTGCTAATTGTAGTTTCCGGGAATTACTATCACACACCCAAGTTCATTTTTCTACTGCAATGGGTTGTTGGGTGAACAATCGGAACGAAATTAAGTTTTCTTCCAGAAGCTAGACAGTAAACTAGGCTTGAAAGAGCTAGAGACACAGGTTACTTAGTAAATAAGGCATTTTAACTATCAAATCTAAGTTAATCCTATTCTGGCATTACACCATCATTCCTTCGCTAGTGTTCAACCCTCTTAAGAAAAAAAAGAGTAGTGGGGTTTTTGTTGTTGTTGTTTCTTTGTTTTTAAATAGTTCAGTTTCGCATTTAAGATTACTTAGTTAACACTTACCAGGAAGGTTCTTAGCCGCGTCATCTCCAGCATGTAGTTCTCATCCGTTGTCAGATCATCAAACGGCATAGTAAGAGATAAAAATCTACAGCTACGATGTTTGGCGTCTTTCTCCCTGCAGCGTGAGCCCAGAACAAGAACGGGTATTAAAACCAGGAAAATTGGATGCATAATAAGCGGACAGGTTTCTTCAGTATTTCTTTCTACGGGCACAGGAGGCATTTTGCAGATAACATCTGAAATATATTTCAGCCAATGTTAGGTAAAAACCAGTTGCGTGAACCATGAGTGAGACACAGCACAAGACAAGATCTAGACTGACTTCACAGCACTGATAGAAATCTTTTTCTGCTTGCCAAATCAAAAACGTTCTCTTTGGATGGAAAAGGAGAAATGAAAAATCATATGGAGTATAATTAGCACGTGTGTCAAGTTATCAGATAGGATAAACATTCGGTAGGCTTCAGTTTAGGGAAATGCTAGAAAATTTATTAGTTTTGTAATAAATTAGGGGGCATTGTTAAGGAGATTTACAGAAATATTTAAAGAACATGGTTAAGCCAGCGCTTACCGTGGGTCATCATTAGGTTCCCAGACCTCCAGTTCTATCAAGCCAAAGAAACTTTTTGCCACATCCTGTTCATTCGCGCTTCGGCAGCAGATAAAGCCCGCCTTCGCCATCTGCGAGAGACAGTTCAGAAGTTCAGAACTTGACTCAACACGCAGCTCGCGCTCCCATTGAACCGTCGCAGAGAACTTCTGGTAACGTCTTTCCCCACGGTATGTATCTACACAGATCCAGCTAAACAAGGAGCTTTAAGAGCAAGAGCTGCAAGCAGGCAGGTCAATTAGTAAAAGAACAAGGAACAATCAGGTCCAGGGAGCAGATGTCTTTGTAGGTGTTTCATTGGCAGGCTATCTGAGTACTTTTGCTATTCGGAGATTAGCTAGGGCACCTGTAGAAGCATTCCAGTATCTGTGTATGGAATCTGCTGTAGTTAAGAATATTTATTTTTTCTCCTGGAAAAAAAAATATTGCTCAAGGCCACGGCTACAGAAAAATCTTACATATAAGCCGTGTGAGTCGAGAGCTACAGTTTCCTGCCAATTTAGAATGGCATCTAGTAAAAAAAAAAAACTGAAAAACAAGTTTGTTTTAGCTATCAAGATTCACCTCTTAGAGAATCATTTTAGCATAGCTTAGATGAGATTTAACCTAGTTTTTCAATACGTTTGCCAAAACAGAAGCGAGGTCTCCTGTTTTTAGTTCTCAAGTTGAAGTCTGCAAGGACGTAAGCATTAAGTTTGTTAAACCTAAGATGATTTTAAGTTTTGATATTAGATTCAAGTAGTAATCATATCACTTTTTCATCCTTCTTGCTGTATGTAGTCAAATAGTCTTCTCCACTTATCTGCAAAAAAAGAATCTGCTAGTAGAGATGTAGCATAATACACAAAGTAACCATAAGTTCAGAATACAAAAAATTGAAGGTAGATGAGCAAACTAAATATGTAACCTTGTGTTTCTGAAGTTGTGAAGCTGAAAGGAGGTCCTTCAGAAGCGTCTCCAGTAGTGCAGGTAGTAGGGAGCGTAAGTCAGAGCTCCTGTCCTCCCAGGTTTCCAATTTAAGGTGTTTTCCTAATTGGTGATGCACTACACCTGTGAAGCAGGGCTGCTTTAAAATAAGCGAGAACAGATGGGTGAGAGCAGGAGCGTGAAGAGTGGGAAACAAGTCTGCATTTGTTTTAGGTATGTAATCATTATTTATTTGTTTTTTCTTACTGTGTTTTTATAAAGTGAAAGAAATGTGTTTTTTTATGTATGAGTGTATTTATTATTACATTGCATTTATAGCTGTTTTGTTGAAAATGTTTGTGAAAAGCTTTTAGAAATGTAACAGTTTTGTGTAGCTTTCATAAAGAAGGTCTTGAAAGCATACAGGTTGCAATAAAAGGGGTTGAACCAGTACTGGTGTTTTTGAAGTGTTTGGGATTATTTGAATTTCAAGTTAATGGGTTAAAATCTTGTGTTGTTTGCTGATGTTGTTAGGTTTTTGTAACAACGAGTTAGTAATCATGTAATATTCAGTGTGTTGTAAGGTATATTAGTCAAGAGAAAGAAAGCAAATGATGGCTTATAGAAGAAATGTACCTGTAGATGTTTACAATTGATTAAGTTTTAAATGGTTTTCTTAAGGAATGTTTGTTATGCGTGGTATTGTGCTTATTTTACAATAGTAAAGTAAAGGATAAAAATAAAATCAAGTGAAAAAAAAATAAATTAAAAAGACCAAAAAAGTAAAGGATATCATTTTGTGCTGCAGTTTGCCAAAGCTGGGTACTACGTCTTTTGAAACAACTGCAATGAAAGTATTTAAAAAGTAAAATGTTTTTCGCAGTACAAATAATACGCACGCGGGCGGGCTTCCATGTCCTTGCATCCATACGTTACTCTGTTCAGATGCGGGGCGGAAATGATATCGAAGGTCAGTTATTTCAGCCGCTGCAGGGCACATCTTTATTACAAGATTATTTTGGTGTCACTTCATACAGGTTAAGTTATTTTTCTAGGACTCAATCGGTGCTTTGTTGTTGGTGTAGCAATACTCTCCTTGTGGCTTATAGTAAACTGTTTGAAGTGGCGTAGTAACACTTGCAAAACAACAGGACATTCAGATTTCTTTGTTTCTTTATTTAGGTAATGCCAACGGTGCAGAAATTCATCATTCACCACCTGGGCTATCAGTTTGTCGAGTACCGGTATTTATTCTTTTCCCAGGAGCCGACCCTATGGCAGCACTCGTTAAGTTTGCTGACGATCAGGTATTGTAATATGTCCCGGTTTTTTTTAAGGTAGGCGATGCGTTTCCGTGTGCATTCGCGTGTTTGTATAAACAGCTAATTGAGTAGAAATTGAAATGCTAAAGCAAGCTCAGAAAACCATTTTGTCTCAGAACACGTTGAAAGGGGTCTCGTGGTTCTCCTTAACGGGAAACATTAACTGTCAGATAGAGTAGTAACACAGCATCTTAAGATCGTGGGTGGTGTTTGCACTTTAAAGTTAGTTACGTGCATTCTTACTTGCTTTGATTATGATGGTATTAAAAACAAACAAACAAACTAGCAAAAAATCCTAGCAGTTGAAATCAGCACTTCTGTAAAAGAGGGTTGTTATTTCTAAAGCTCCTAGGTTTCCTGGAGATAGATTTCTTCCACCGCTCGCCTGCGACCACCAGCGTTCTTAGCCGTTGAGCGGCAGCGAAGGAAGGAGCATGGAGGTTGCTGCAGGTTTGCAAAAAATTATCAGAGTACAGTTCTTGCTTACCATTTGCTAGAGTTCTTAATGCATTTTTGATCAGTAGGTATTATCATTGTAGGTTTTGTGAGAAGAGATATACGACAGTAAATATGCTAAGTACACATGCCGTTGCCGTTGAGGTGTAGACGGGGCACCTTGTTTTCGTTCACGTGTTACACAAAGAGCAAAAATTTGTTTGGTATTCCGCAGCCAGGAATAAAAGCGCTCCAGCATCCAGGGAAATGAGAATTGTCTTAAGCTTGAATTGCATTATCGTTGCTTGTGAGACTTTAAGAAATTCCTACATCTAACTGGAATAGTTTCCAATTTCCTGAAAAAAAGTTGCATAAATAATAACAGAGGAGATGTGTGTTGGTCTGTCGCTTACTCCAATTGTTTTCATATGTGTTTATTGCAGGAGCTTAACCCAGAGGCAGCACATCGGGATTTCAGTATCTGGCTCACCAGCTACCCGTCTGCCACGTTTCCGGCATCCGTTCTTCAGAACGGAGTGAAGATGACAAACGAAGCGCCGAAGGGTTTACGGGCAAACAGACTTCGTTCACATCTGATGGATCACGTACCTGACCCTAATTTTTAAAATAGCTGCAAAAAACCGGTTAGTAATGCGGCGGCGGCCTTACTTTGCGAAGGGGTTAAGGAAGATGGTGACCACCTAAGTTAGCTCTGGGGAAAAAAGGTTGCAAGTTAAATAGTTGTTCTGTACTGTGCTCAAACTGCTTTTGATTACCGGTAGCAGAAAAGGAAGCGTTTTTTGTTTTCTGCTCGTCTCCTACTTCAGCGGTGGCTTCTTAGCGTGGCTTTGATAAAAGGTGTCTTGAAAAGAAATGAATTGAAAAGCACGCTATTTGCCATTGCAAATCTGCAGTGTTGTTGTCGCACGGGCTTTAAGCGGTTGCTCTGTTGAATCGTGAGGGCCAATGGAATTTGTAGCGTTATTACATAAATGCCCTTCCCGGTGCTGGCTGTTTTTATCAAGGCTCGGAAAGCTGGGTTTTCTGGATTGGATTTCTGTGCATCAGCTTATTTGATTGGAAAATATTTGCCGTTATTTATCTTTCATAGCACAGTTGTTTTAAACGAGGCGTAATACTTGGCTGAAATGTTTTCAATAGCAAACAAAGCCAATGTAAGCTTCATAGGTGTTGCGCAGATGATGTGTGAGGTTGCTTTGTGACAGTGTAGCTTTTTTTTTTTTTTGCTGTATTATTGTTCTAAAGAATAAGTGGTGTTGCATAAGAGGAAAGTAGCTCAAGTGTAGTATAAATAGTGAAATATTAAGTATAGAGATCAGACTAAGTACTGAAGTAGTCGCAGACCAGGAGATCTATGCTATAAGAGGGAACCATCAGTTGTAAATAGTGGTTTGTTAAGGTTTTTAGAGAACGCTGGTTGACTTTAAATTAGATGATAGCAATAGTAACGTGGCTGTCGGGTTAAGTTACAGGTTGTGGCTGAATGTTTTTTAGTTTTTTTTTTTCTCTAGGAGGTGCCATACAATGCTTTTTGCTACATGACCAGGGAAGGTAAGTATGTTGGCAGAGTCACTGACAACTGGGATTGTTGCGTACTACTTAGCGTTTTGAAGACATTTTTCTCAGCAGAAGTCATTACAAGTAGAGATGACGAATTTGATTTGAGTGGCCTTCACCGTGTTCTTCCTGAAGGTGAGATAAATATTTGAAAGTTGTGAATTTACTAGAAGCTTTCTTGGAAATAAGAGCTGGCCTAATTGAAGCAATACTGCATATATGATTATATACATATATATTTTTCTGTGTCTGTGCATATGTATGCATATACACTTATTTCCTGTATATTTTTATATATATATATATACATATAAATATAAATAAATATATAAATATATAGGAAATTTAGGGGTCCTGTCAGCTGCTGTATAGTGCTGACTGTTCATGTACAGTCTTAGTTGGGATGTGTAGTTGTTTCTATTTTTTTAGATACTGTGTGCAAGTTGGGGTTCTAGTGGTTTTGAATGGTAGCTTCTGCAGTATTAAATTCAAAACCTTTTTCTTTTGAGTAAACAAAAATGAAATGTTAGGTCAGGGCAACTTTTTTATTTTCAGTGTTTTCTGTTACAACATTTCTAATGTACATTACAGTCTAGGGCAGCTGGTACAAGTGCCAAATCTATGTATTATGTTGTTCACGATGTTGTTTATGATGTGACAGGTGACATCTGGAGTAAACTTCCCTGTGACTTGGACAATGTGAGGAGAAGATAATGAACCACTTAAAGTGACAGTATGAATCACAGAATGGTGGAATCATGGAGTCACAATGTTGGAAACCATGTGCAGGATGATCCAGTACAATTGTGTGTCACCATAAGCACTCAACCATATCATGCAGCATGTTGTCCATGTGTCTCATTGAGTGAGTCTGGGAATGGGACTATGTATATATAATTGTGTTCCTATTCCAGAAATTGGACAATTCAACAGGAATCAATAATAAAGTGTCAATGTACAGTAACACATGAGGGGACATGGAATGTTGCACTATTTCCTATTCCATAACCATATTTCTGCACATAACTGGGCGATCACGTTCCTTCGTTCCTTCGTTCCTTCGTTCCTTCGTTCCTTCGTTCCT